TATATATGAATAAAGTTAAAACATGTAAGAAGAAGCTGAATTAAGTGCAGCTCGAGTTCAGTAGTCTGACAGCTGCTCTGAATGCTCCTCAGCCGCCTGCTTGAGGGGAGGGGCTGGAACAGACTGTGTGCAGGATGAGTGGAGTCCTTCATGATGTGGAGCGTCCACCCCCTGCATTGTGGAGTGTATAGGTCCAAGGTGGTGGGAAGGCTGCTCCCCACAGTCTTCTGTGCAGCCTTAACCACCCTCTGCAGAGCCATCCTCTCAGCAGCAGCGCAGCTGCCGTGCCACATGATGATGCAGGTGCAGAGAACGTTATCCACCACACAACGATAGAAGCTCCTCAGGACAGAGCTCCCAAGTCCAGCTCCCTGCAGCTTCCTGAGAAAGTAAAGACACTGGTGGTTCTTGACAAGCAGAGGTGGTGTGTTCCTCCAGGTCCACCTCTCCCTCATATATAGCCCCTCTCTGAAGACCTGCCAATCTGTGCATGAAAACAGTCCTGTAGCACAGAGTAACCACACAGTGACTGTCTTCTTTGTTGGCCTAATCTGTCTCATCAGTGGATGATATGCTGGCTCCAACAGGATTGAAATGTGGTCGGAGAGGCCAAGATGGGGGCGAGGAAGAGCTTAAGCAACGTGAATGTTAGCATACAGTCCAGAGTGTTGTCTCCCCACGTAGGAAAGGTGACATGCTGGTAAAAGCTGGGCAGAGTGTTTGTCAGTTTCACGTGGTTAAAGTCCCCCGCAACCACATAAAACGCTTCTTCATGCCAGAGTTTCAAAATTGAAATCATTTTATGCAGAACAGGGACAAAGTTATAGCATTTTTGGTCAAATCTTGTAAATGGCCATCTTGAAGTGAGTTGACGCAAAACGTTAATGAGCTTTAGGTTTACAGGCAGTGATTACTTTCTGAGGGTTTCTAACAAATTCATCAAGTGGTTCAAGAAATATTTTGCTAACGGACAAACAGAGTTGGCTAACAAAGTTTTAAGTAAAAGTGTAGCAAAATGTGTAACACATGGAGTAAGTGTTGGTCAAAGCTCTCAGCTACTGTCGTGCTAAATCTAAGCACCTTGACATTTAAGGAAGTTAGAGCTGTTTCTGTGTTATTAATCTGAGCGGCCATCATGACTTGAATAATGAACATGTTGGTCAAAAGTGTTCATGAATACATTTTTTAAAAAATGTGCGTTGAAAAGAAAGACGTCATCTGGTAAATGTCAACATCTATAAATGTGTTTATTTCAAATAAAGACACGTTTCCTCTTTATTAGTGATTGAGACTTATTCTACTAAAGCAAAGATCATTTTGTCTGTGTGTGTTTGTGTGCGTGTGTGTGTGTGTGTGTGTGGGGGGGGGGGGGGGTGTGTGTGTGTGTGTGTGTGTGTGTGTGTGTCATAACTAGACAAGACGTCAACAGATTTGACTTGTCAAAGAACCTAATGGCTAACAATCCTCTTAAACACATTTGCAGTTTCAGCGGCACTGTTTAACTGTCATGACAACCAGGATGACATCCGAAGGATTCAGAGGGGGATCAGGGGATTAGATTTATGTGTTTGTTTATTTATTTATTTTATAATGGGATCGGAAGCCGCTGGATTAAAAGAAACACCTAATTTGCTCACTCTGACATAAGCAACGTTTATGTTCTGTCACTGGTGTTTTGTTAAACATGATTCAACTTTGATGTCAAATTTTCAAGGTCAAACCCATCACTCCTGCTGCCAGTTGACTATATGAATAATTTTAAAGCGATAATAAAGTATTGCTTTATTGTTTGGCATATCAGGAAATATACTTCATATTTAATGCTCAAGTTCATCTTTGCTTTTATAAAATACAGAATGTAAACTCTGTTTTGCTGGGCTGTAACGTCTCAACTTTATTTTTATTTTTTTTACTCCAAATGAATATTTTTTTAAACCACTAAAATAAAAGCTCACTTTTTAACATCTTGTTCAAGAATCTTCATAATCAAGAACAAACTCAAACCCTTATTTTGTCACATATATATTTACAATAATAGGACCAGATCATGCTATAAGGTAATTGGCATCATTTATTAGAAAATAAGTATAAATATATTTAAGGTAAACACTTTATTTCATATTTTTTATCTTTCAGTTCACATTTAGTTTGTGTTGTGTTTATTCCCATCTAGCCTTGTTATCATTTGTGCATGTTTTATAGCTTTGCAGTGCAACAAGACAATTGTGTTCCTGTATTTTTCAGATTTGCCACCCTCTCATGTTGTGTTTGTGAACTACAACCATCGCCAGTCCACAAGAAAATGATCCATCTCCTTTTACCTTTATTTACAATGTTGAAAAAGTCCAGCCAAACAAGAAAAATAAATACAACAAATGTCCTAAATAATAACTGGGGTTGTCACCGAACAGCAACAGGACCTTCATGCAGCGAACAACAGATGATTGTCCAGCAATACCTACAAACCGAGCCGTCTCGTCATGCTTTGCAGCCACGTCATCAACTTAGATAAGATCCAAAGGAATTGATCTTTTCCTGCTCTCTTACAGTTTCTTCCTTCTGTCTTTGTTGCTTCAGCGTTGGAGGGATGTTTTACTCGTCCACCTGTGTCCAACAGATGTCTCGGGGCAGCAGCATCCAATTAGCAGCAGCATCGTGTTCCTCACCATCTGCCACTTTTACAATAAGGCACATGTTCAAAACTACACATGTTCAAATTAATGCATGGCTCACCTAAACTGGTGCGAGGGGTGTGACAAGCAGGATAATTCAACTGGACACCCTGCAGTATTTAAACATGGTTCATTGATCTTCTCATGTAAAATATACTTCATAATCAATTTCAGAACCAAACAAAAAGAAATGGATGACTTAAAACCTAATGTTTTTTTTTTTTAAATGCCTCTTTTTACAGCATCTTTTAATAACCGGTAATCTTGTTTTCCCCATTGATTTAAAAATAAAAGTTTGGTTTAAAAAGGTAGATTCTTTAACAGACGCTGGGCAGCCTAAGTATTGCTTCGCTTTTCGGACACATTTGGTTTTCATGCATCATGTGGCCGCAGTTCAGGGTTTTATTCAAGATCATTCAGGCAGTAGACAAGAGCTGTACAGTGGACGTGATTACAGACTACAAGAAATACTTCAACTAGAAAAAGCTTTGTTTCTCTCCCGAATAATGTGGTTGAAAAGATTGTGGCTAAACATTGAACTTTGTGTCCTGACAGTTTCCTAGCAAAACAAAAAGACCTCCAAACATTTCTGTCAAAAAAAAAAAAATATTTGGTGGTTGTTTTGCCTGGGCTAATTTTAGTCTAACAGAAGCTAAAGGAGAAAGTAGTCATTTTTACATGTCAGCCATATAAACCAGTACGTCTGTATGTAAATTTGTTCATTCATGCGTTTCACCTTTAATCTGCCAGTCAGAGCGGCAGACAGACAGCGACGTGTCAGAGCTTCCTGCAGGCTGTGAAACATATCGAGCAGCTCCACTTGGTCTAATGTTGTCGTTGGCCTTCGGTGTTCGCTGTCAAAGTGCGAAAGTCAGCAGAGAGCAAACAGACTGAGGCCAGTTGTTGATGAGCTGCAATGAAGGACAGATTGGGCCACAGGCCACCAGTATGCATGTACTGACACAGTAAAGTGTGCACAAGTTGTCCCAGTCTTTGTGCACTGATTTTTTTTTAAGTCAGTTAGTTACAGTGAGTGCCACACATTTGTTCAAGCCAAACAGTGCTTCAAAAGTTACAAGGTCCCGTCACTCCAGTGCGTGGCCCATTCCTTTTTGTGGACACTTCCAGACTTCTCGGTCTGGAATTGGGGCCGATGCTCACGAGGAATCTTCACCGCGTGGTACTGAGGAAGTTTGTCTTTGTAGTGGCTGCGTCGAAAGAAGCCGCACTGTCCACATGGGAGGGACGGCACGAGAGGCAGAAGAAACGAGGAAGGAGAGGCCAAAAAAGAGAGAAAATATAAATACATTAATTGATGCTACTACTAATATAAATTTAACTTATGTCTCTAAAATAGATTTTATACCTTTGAAGAAAATAATTACTCAGTTATTCTTTCTATGAGTGATTATTTTCTAGTCCTTTTCTGATTCTTTGTTGATAAATGCACACGACAAAAGCACATGCTCCATGTTTCTAATTCCAGATTAAGCATCAGAGATTAACATATTAAAGCACCATTAGAAAAATAAAGAAAGAAAATACACTCATAAAAGCAAAAACACCCAGTGATAGTAATTACAAGTTCATTCTGGCACCTGGTATTTTTCATGGGAAATGAATCAAACATGATTAAAAGATGTATGACATGTTTTGAAAAAAAACAACTTAAAATAAATAAATTGTCATGTAGTGATGCCAGGATGAACAGGTGCAGATAATTAAACAGTACGAGGCACCACACACAGCACAGCAGGCATGTCAAACCCTGAGGCGGAGACGGCTGGATGGTGTTCAACAGGAACCAATTGGAAGGGAAGTCAACAAAATAAAAGATTGACCTCATGACAAAACTTCATTTTATTTATTTTTAATGATCCAATCAAAGGGTGGAAAGGTTCTTGGAACGCTGAGTATTGTATTAGAGCCATGTACAATCAGAACAGAGACGAAAGGCGTCACGTCCTGTCTAGACACACCTCAAGTCAGCTCTAAATCTAACGTCGTTTTTGAGGTGCGTTAAATTTAATCACCTGTTCCACTTTGCGGGCGTGTAAAGTGCTGAGGGGCACCAGCACTTACACCAGATCCTCGTGGCAACGAAACCTTGAAATCAATGCCCACTTCTGTGACTAGAAGCTTTACTCTGGGTACTCTGCAGATTTTTAAATTTTTTATTTTATTATTATTTATTTATTGTATGGTTTTCTTTTTAAATGTGAGAGGGAAACGGTTTTAACCACAGTTAGCTTGAAAAGCTTAAAATCAAAAAGCAGAATTTGGCTGCAGTGAAAACTAAATTATTGGGGATTTATTTTATTTTATTTACATATATATATGTACTTTGT